ACCTTTGTGCAATAAAACAACGACTAAATTATATGAGTTGATGATATTGGTTCATGAAGTTCCAGGACTAGTGCTGGAATCTGTATAAGCCGTGTAGAAGACTTATAATTAGAATCTTAGCAAAGTAATTATTACAGTAGAATCATTTTTATTTTCAATCTCAATACATTATTTTCTGGAGCCCCTTATTTTATGAGACAATAACAAATAAAGATGATTCAATGCAGTTTCATTGTTTTCAGCAATATTTAGTTCAAATAACAGTCATGTTCAATGAGTACAATAACATCGTTATAAATTATTTCAATAATTTAGGCAGAACAATCATATAATATGTAAAACCATGCCAAAACAAATGTTTGCCGTTGGGTTTCCTAAAAGGAAAATCTATATGACTAACTTGTGATTGGGATAGATCTGTTTACAATCTTCAAACGTCAAAAATCAAAGAAAGCTATTCCAATAAGATATACATGTTTTCCTATAGTGCAAACTTTAATGACTGTCCAATAGTTTTTACATGTCTGTTTACAAGCGACATATCAACAAACGTCAAAAATAGTTAAAAGCAACTTCAATAAAATATACATGATTATCTTATAAAACATATCTTTTAGTGAGCAGGTTTATTTTACTAGATTTTATTATATTGCTAACTTATATGGATTTGTATTAGTTTCTAGATGTCTGTTCCCACCCATGACAAAGTAACAGTTTTTCACCATAATATACATAAGACAATATTCATATACATCTTACCCATCGCTAACCACGTTCAAGGTAAAGGACTATTATGTACTAAGTATGTGAAATTACGATATAAATCATTTCATACCACAGTCATAGTTATTAAGTGATAATTCAATGGAATCTATCAATCATCACATAGAATGAATAAATCTTCTGATATTGCTATGTTATAAGCAAGGTTGCAAAGACTCATTTCAGCTAAAATAATGTTTTTCGGAATAATAGAACCAAAAGATGGTATGATGGCATGTTTTACTTGTAACTTACAAGAAGAGGTTACAAAGAAAGCGTTGGAAACATAAAACCTGTAAATTTTGCTTTCTATGAGTCACAATCAGCGATTTTCTGATCGCTGAGTGAGTGAGTGAGTGAGTGAGTGAGTTTGTGAAAAATCGCTGATTGTGACTCTCGTGAAGTGAAATAAACAGGTTTAATATGTCAAACACATTCTTTGCAACCTCTTCTTGTATCCTACCAATTCAAAATTTGATCATGGCATCTAATTATTTCATAATTTAGAAAAACATTGTTTTAGCTGAAACGAGTCTTTGCAACCTTGGTTATAAGATGGATCAAATAAACCGTACATGTCGATTTGTTTCAGTGTACTATTTGCAAGTGGGTTTGTGAAACTAAGGTTATCTATCACCTTGCTGGAGACATATGTTCGATTGGCCAAAGTTGCATACATGTATAGACCCAATGTGAGTCCAGAAGACCAACTTTACTGCCACGTATCTGGAAAGATTTCATGTTAAAATGGTGAGTTGTACAATTTTCAGTCGTGCCTCATTAATATCCAAATAATACAGATAAAGGGTGATACGGTCAAAATTTGGTCAAGGGAAAACGCGTGTAAATCGGTGAAATCGTTTATTTAAAAAATCAAATTAAATTTCTTTTTCAAGTTCAATTAGTATAAAATTCAGTAAAAATATTCAGTTAGGCTTCCGCTTTTCCAAATCCGAATTGCCGGGCCTTACGCTTGACCCCTGCCATCAGATTTTGTACAGCCACCTTGTCCACCTTCTTCGCCGCAGAAAGCCAGTTTGCCTTGCCTTGCCTCAATTGGGCGGAGCTCTGGCGTGTTGGGAGGGTTCTTGTCCTTGGGAACCACCTGCACGTTGTTGGCGGCGTACCACTCCATGGCCTTTTTACCGTAATGGCAAGATGCCAAATCCGGCCAAAACAGTACGGAACAACCGTGTTTCTTCAGGAAAGGCAGCAGACGTTTATTCAAACACTCTTTCACGTAAATTTCTTGGTTGACAGTCCCGGAAGCTATGAAAATGCTGCTTTTCAAGCCACAGGTACAGATGGCTTGCCAAACCAGATATTTCTTTGCGAACTTTGACAGTTTCATGTGCTTGAAAACATCTGCTACCTTTCCCCTTCCTTTTGCCGTATAAAACTCCTGTCCCGGAAGCTGCTTGTAGTCGGCTTTGACGTAGGTTTCGTTGTCCATTACCACGCAGTCAAACTTCGTCAGCATCGTCGTGTACAGCCTCCGGGATCGCACTTTGGCCGTCGTATTTTGTTTATCATCGCGATTTGGAGTCACTACCTTCTTGTAAGTCGATAGTCCGGCTCGTTTTTTGGCTCGATGCACGGTTGTAGACGATACACCCAGCTTATTTGCGGCATCTCGGAGAGAGAGGTTAGGGTTTCGCTTGAAACTACCGGCAACTCTCTTTGTCGTCTCAGCGGCTTCCGGTTTTCGATTTCCCCCCGATCCAGACTTCCTGGCTGTCGACAAACGTTCCCCAAACACTTTAATTACATTTGTAACGGTTGATTTGGCAACTTTTAGCGATTTTGCCAACTTTGCGTGCGAGTAGCTCGGATTTTCGCGATGCGCGAGCAAAATTTTGATACGCTGCTCTTCTTTCTTGGACGGCATTTTGACAACTGAAGAGTGAATTCCAAAATCAAAATAGGAGCAACATTCTACACACACACACCTTCAAAATGAGGGGTGTTCAGGTTTTTTAAATGCAAAATTGAAAGAAATACGTCAAGTAGATATTGACCAAATTTTAACCGTATCACCCTTTATCTAATATTACTTGTTGACAGTGAAATATGGACTGCATCTCAATTGTTTCATAAGATACGACATAAAATGTAATTGATGGCTTCATATTAGACCGAGGTTGGGGACAAATATCCCATGCTGCATTTTTTTTTTTGAGCGCACATATTGTGTTTCAAATAGTCCAGTAATTACCTACTTCATTGCTCATGGCATCAAACCAATCTGACAATCCATTTTCGAGTAACAGTTTTTTGAAGATGAGCTTAATATTTTCTGTAGGTCCTTTTCAATACTAATTCTTGATTCAAAATTGCGGTATAAAGATGGAAAATGAAACCTTTGGACAAAAGGAACTTTTCTGAAAATTTTCATCCAAATCAATAAGTACACGAATAAATGGTTTAGCGTATTAGTATGGTACCGCTCAATGGGGTATAAGTTTCAGAACGAAATGACGTTGAGATTAGCTGCTTATGTCTGCTAAACTGCAAGATACACCACTTAAAGAAAGTGTTAAAGAATTATAAAAATGGACGTAAATCCTTACCACGAAGTAATAACGATTTGCTTCCTTCTGCATAAATATGCAATTGGGTTGTTAGGGGTATTGAGGTAAATACATATATATCCGAAATCCAAAATTTCATCAATTTTGATACACTGGAACTATTTTAAATAAATACGATAACATTAGTAAAAATCACCATCTTAGCGCCCTTTGGTGGGAATTTGTATGGGAGCGAGCTGTCATCAAATAGATTTAGTGTCAACGATCAAAAATTTAAATCTTGATTTAAAAATCGAGATGAATGTCTGTGGGATCGATAAAAATATCGTTGTGCTCTATCAGATGATGTATAAAAATCGGTACATTTTCAAAGTTAAACAACCCAATTTCAAAGCACTTACATCTTTGAGGCTGTTCATAAGCTACGTATACAGTTTGCCAATTATCCACGGCCCATACAAATTTTAAAAATTTTGTATGGACTTTGTATGTTTTGTCTACGCAGGAGGAAGGGTGGGGTCAAGAATCCAAAAAAAACTGTCTCATAGTTAATGAGCAGCCCCTCTGTAGAAAATTTAAAAAATGTAATATTCTAAAAAAAAGTTAAAGTAAAAAACGCTTTTTAGTTGGGTACTACTGTTTGTATTCCATATTCACCCTATAACTTCATCCACTTGAAAGATCGAAAATTTCCGTCTCCGACAAAGTTGCTTAAAATGACTTCATCTACAATGTTTCCATAGATGTTAATCGATTTTAACAAGTTATAAAAAAAAGTATTTTTTTTTTAATCTGAATGTGCCCACCTGAAGCAAAAATTTTCATCTCTAAAAATAAGTACTCATAAGTACATTCTTGAAGACATAAAAATACTACACTCAATAGTTTCGTCGCAAATAGCCATGTCCCACTATTTTTGATTTCGTACCACTGTGTGCCGGGCCGTTCCCAATTTGAATCATCCACCATTCACAATACATACTCATTAATAGCTCAGTAGGAATCTTAACAGCTTTTGTATACCGCTTCGAGTTCAACAAGGCGCATCTATCACAGAAAGTGTCGTCCACATTTTACATTCTCCATCCCCTCACAACACCGCCAAGTTCTTACTGCCGCTGACGTGAGACTACCATTCCATCTCACTCGCGAGCCAACAAACAACTTTCCCACTACCACCCACTCTCATTCGCTCATCAACATAACTACTCATCACCGCCGCATCGCACTACTGGTAGGTTCGGGAATCCTTCTTCCTTTGACCGTTCAATAGCAAGTGAGCAAGTAACCGGGAGAGACGTGTTTCCACGCGGGCCTCTCTCTCGCCTCCCTACCCATCATCAGCGTCATCGCCGTCGTCGTCGTCGTCATCGGTCGGTGTCTCACCCAGCGAAAGCAAGGACTAACCACCCACAGCCTAGCGAAGGAAGAGAGCGGGTTCGTCCTTGCTCGTAGTTAACACTCGGTCGGATCCTTCGATTGCGAGATTGTGTTGGTGCCGTCGCGAGAGAGCGAGATCCAGCGAGAGCGTGCTTCGTGTGTGGTAGTGCGTCGCTCTCGAGCCCGAGCGAGAGGGAGAGCCCGTCTTAATTTGCATATATTTCTATATACGAAAATAATTTTTCCTTTTAATATTTCATTCGGTGATAACTTCATTCTGGTGTGAAATAATTGCTTCGTAACTTTTTACATCATTATGCTGTCTCACTTTGTTTATGCATGCATACGCGAATCAGGCAGCGAACGCAGCGGAGCCTTTTTCGGGCCGCTCCTGGCGCTTGCTAGTGGCCCAGTGGCACCAGCCTACAATAATTATTATTAGTAGTGCTGCCGTGTTTGTTACACTGTGGCCAAGTGCGTAGCAAGTGCTTCGGTTAACCCTCGCGCGGTGTCCGTGGATGAGTGCATTTGGCACAGGTGCATAATTTGAAGCATTTTTGAGCAAAAGGATAATACCAGTTTACTTTTTGTGTGTGAACGAACAGCAGTGGTGCAGTGCCGTGTCTGTTTGTAAGGACCTAGACGACGATGACGGCGATAACAACAACAACGATAACAACAACAACAACAACAACACCATCAACAGTCGTCGAGACGATGACGACGACGACGGTCCGAATGTAGAATGTGAAGAGTGGTGTATTTTCGCAGGCCTGCTCCTTGACCGTTTCTCCGGGGTCAGCTGCGGAGGTTGTTGTTTATTTCGGGCCTCTGCGCGGAGCGTCTAGGGGTGGTGATGGTAGCGAAAAGGGGTTGTGCGTGTGAACAAGAAGAAGATTCAGGAGAAGAAGAAGAAGAAGAAGAAGGAGAAGAAGAGCAAGCAAAGGAAACCGACCCCTCTCTTGACGAGGGATTCCTGCTGTTTGGCAGCCAGTCAGTCAGTCAAGAGCGAAAACGAAGAAAACGAAAATAACACACCGCTCGAAGTGGACAAACCAGAACGTGAAGAGTGAAAGGATTGACCAAAACAAACATTCGGACGCACCCTTCAGAGCACACAGCCACCTGTCGTCGTCTGGCTGCCCGTCCGCGTTTTCGTTCGGAATTGGGAATAACAACATCAGCAGCAGTCAACAACAAACACAACATCAGTTTTGGTCACCTGGCGGCTCGGGTAGAAACGGAAAAGCAGCGACGGCCACCAGAAAATTGATGATGACGATGATGATCATATGAAAAGCGAATCGTTTGCCGATATATTTATGTTTGGCTTTATTTTTTACGCGCGACGACGATGACCACAGCAGCAGCACCAGCAAAGGCTTCAACGTTTCAGTGCTGATGGTGAGTGCGGGAAATTGCTTGGTGCAAAACTGCATACATGGGGGGAAAACGGGGCAAAGTGGCGGCAGTAGCTCGGAGTGTGATAATTAGTTTTATTGATTAAACACCTGAATGGCTTGGGGCGATGAACTTGTGTGCACACAGGTGGACAGGTGTGTAGGAACCTTGGCTCACAAAGGGTTGTTGGAGCTCTGATTTGGCCAGCCGTTTCGCACCGGTGAGGTGTTTAAATAATGGACTGTTGGAAAGGACCACGGTGGTGTGAAAGTTATGCGTGAAAAGAATGTCTACGATATGCAGTCGATAGTGATACGAGGTTTTCTCTCTTCGTCTTTTTGCAGAATCACCTGGATGCGAAGAATTTTTGAGTAAATTTGTGAATTTAGCTTCATAACAGCATACAAGGTAGGTTAAATTTGTGTTATAGTCATTGCTTTTGCTTAAATATGTGACTTGAATTGGTTTGCAATAACTGGCTCAATTCCATTAGAGGTTTCAAGATTTTTCAGTGAATTGAATTTTGACCCATGAGTACACGCAAAACAAAATTCTCTCACATCCAATGTAAGGTTGGATTTATTACATCCTTTGCATACGTGCAACAAATGTGATGGTAGTTCTTGAAGTAGACTGCAGCGTACAAGTAAGGTTTCCCAGAATGCATATTTTTGTATAAAACCTTCTCGAGATGATTTTCTAGCCGCAAGTGGGTACAATATTACACTCATTAAAATAATTTTTTTCACAAATTCTGTGTACATAGTACAGCGTAATATTACACAACAAGCGGAATGACCAATCGACTTTTTCTTCTTCTGTATTCGGCAGATTAGTATGTGGTACAGTAATGACCCGATTTTTCAACCCCTCTGCGCATTGGACTTTTATTTATTTAATTTGTTTTTCTTCATCGGACTTAACGTGTCTAAATGAAGCCTGATGGGGAAAAGCCTAGAAAAGGCGTAAAAACCCCATATCTTTTCGAAATACACGAATCACAATAATATAATACAATTACAACGAAAATTAATCAAGTCTATAGCATAAAAAAGTTATCCTCCTATGGCATAGAGTTGTCCGTAAGTCAGGTTGAAGTCCTCGTCATGCAGTTGAACCGTAAACAAAAAATAAACAGGTAGCACAATCCTTCACGTGTACATTAAATGGACAGCTACTCACCTTCTCAGGAGCCTGCGTTGAATACGGTGACGAAAGGTTTCCGCTGCAAAGTAAAACTCCTTGAAACGCCCAAACATGAACCGTATTGGGTCATGCAAGCTGTAGTTCGCAGCACGAGGTCCAAGATGCAGGAAACTCCTCGACCGAAGAACTCGTTCGGGTGCGTAGATTTCGAATTCAGCCAAGATTCCTGGAGAGTCGAAATCACCAATAAGTACTTTCGCTGTGAACACGGCCTGACTAATCGTCCGCCTATGTTCTAGTGTTTCAAGACCCAGGAGTTGACAACGATCTTCGTACGGCGGAAGGTTCACAGGGTCATTCCAAGGAAGGTGACGAAAGGCATACTGAACAAATTTCCTTTGAACAGATTCAATCCTCGCTATCCAAACTGCTTGATACGGGCACCATACTACCGAGCAGAATTCCAAGATCGATCGCACTAGAGAGCAGTATAGAGCTTTTAGACAGGCAGGATCGCGAAACTCGTCAGCGATCTTGAAAATGAACCCGAGTTGCCTGTTAGCTTTCGCCACGATGCCCGAGTAATGAAGCTTGAATGTTAAGACGCAGTCCAGCCTGATTCCTAGGTCACGAACATTGTCCACACGTTGCAGAAGTTGGTGATTTATCGTGCCACTGGTTTCAGCTTGTGATGAAATGAGATAATATTACATTTTTGTACATTCAACGTGAGACAGTTTCTTGAGCACCACTCTTCGAAAGTATCGATTAGGTGCTGAGGTAGCAAGCAATCGGCGAAGCTACGAACAATCACATAGATCTTCACATCATCCGCGTAGAACAATCGGCAACCAGTTGTGAGGATCAGTCCGGCCTCATTCACAAAAATCGAGAATAGCAATGATCCCAAGTTGCTACCTTGGGGAACACCGGAGCTGTTTGTAAAATAGTCCGATTGCTCTGATCCGATTCTATCACAAAGTTCCCGATTGGTCAGATAGGACTTGAACCAACGAGTTAAACCCGAGGATACACCGAGTTTTTCAAGTTTAGCTAGCAGTATGGAGTGGTCAACCCGGTCAAATGCAGCCTTAAGATCTGTATATACAACGTCCACCTGCGCTGCAGCTTCCATACTCCGAAGGCATAAGGAAATGAACGGAGCTAGATTTGTTGAAACTGATCTATTGGGATAAAAACCGTGTTGGTCAGGAGAAATGTAATTTCTGCAGTTAGAGAATAATGCGTCGTTGATGATGATTTCGAAAACTTTCGAGCAGGCACTGAGTGATGTGATCCCTCAGTAATTTTCGACGTTTCTCTTGTCTCCTTCTTGTAGATCGGGAACATGAATGACGATTTCCAACGCGTAGGGAACTCCCCCTGCTGTAATGAAATATTGAACAGCTTTGAAAGCGGTATTGTAAGCTCTGAACAGCATTGCTTCAGGATGCTTAAGGGGATCCCGTCAGGGCCAGCAGCATTAGAAAATTTCAGCTTCTTGATGGCGGATTCGACGAGGTCTACTGTAACCGAGGTAATCGAAAAATTGAAAGCATCACTGGGAGTGTCCCTCACCGCTTCAGCAACTTGGAACAACGAAGCCGTAGTGTCATTGAAAATGCTTTTGAAATGTTCTGCCAGAAGATTACATTTCTCGAGGAAATTGCTGGCGATTCTATCACCCAGGTGAATTTCGACTGGTAGCCCCTCCTCGTTTAGTTTGGTTTTCACGAATGACCAGAACTGCTTTGGATTGAGCCGTAAATTAGCCTGCACACGCCTTGTGTAGCTCTTGTAAAGAATGCGGTTATATGTGCGATATTCGTTGCTCGCTGTTGAAAATAATCGTTTGGTGAATGGGTTACGAGTACGACAGTATTTACGGAGGGCCTTCGATCTCAGACGCTTCAAATTCCGTAGTCGAGCATTGGACCATGCGGGTTTGGGAGAGGGTTTCCTCAATGGGACAGAATCAGTTATTGCCCGTCCAACGACCTCAGCGAAGTAGTTGACGGCTTCATCAATAGATGAACACGTGTCAAGGAACTGCCAATCTACCTGGGCAAGCGAGTGACTCAGCGCGACGAAATCTGCTCTACGCAAGTCGAGCTCATGTACATCAACAGGGGGGTTATCGTAGCGAACAGGAACAGATAGGTTGATGGAAACTTCCAACGCAGGATGATTGGTGTCGATGCCAATCAAAGGCTCTGGGACTTCTAGGATAGAACATTCCAGTCCTGCAGCTTCGTTCGCCAGAACGAGATCAAGCAGCCGAGAGTTGCTATTCAGTAACGAGTTGATTTGCGTCAAGCTATGCAGGTTGAAACCATCAAGGAGAGCACAGCAGGATGCGGGCATGTTCGAGCGAAGAACATCAATGCTAGGAAGATCGTTTGCAGGAACGTTCCATGAGAGCCCAGACTGATTGTAGTCACCAATTACCAGAGCTAGGTCGTTTTGTTTTAGTCGAGAGAACACGGTACCAATCGAACTGATGTGGTTTGCAATGCTGCTCGAATCAGATTTCCGGTCTGGAGGTAGATACATAGCGCCAATACTTATTGATCTACGAGGCGTCGTTATTTTGACCCACAGCTGCTCTAGAGAAGTGCAAACTGGAGCAGGATCGATGCAGGAGCTTAGGCGTTTGGATACCGCAATCAAGACGCCTCCCCCACGCGATTTGGTACTATTCTGGTGGTTGAGGTCGTTTCGAAATACCGTGAATAGACTGCCAAATAATTGAGATGAATTAATGCGGTCATCAAACCCTGACGTTTTTTGGACTTGTGAAGTCTCCGAAATATTTCCGATGTTTCCTTAAATTCACTGGAGCTCTCTGCACTTTACTGGTTTGTCAAATTTTAATAGAACGTGAAGAAACTGTCTTTCATTTATCGGAACTTGTTATTACAGTTCTTAGAACATACCCAACAAAACCGCAATAAAACTCTGGAAGCATATCTGAAGTTCCGGGTCGGATGAAACCTTTCGAGTGAAGCGAGAAGAAGCTTCCTATGGTAGTCAAAATAACTGTCCGGGAGGAAGCGAAAAATAACTTATGGGGTAAGATGGATGGAAATTCCAGGGGAAGATTAAATAAATTTCAGAAACAAAAATAACAGATTGATGGATCTACTTGTTTTTTTTTTTTCAGTGAATATTAGAACATTAGTTGAAGGAATATCGTCTTCATTATTCATTTCATAATTTAACGTCGGTCTCTGTTCCGCAATCTAATGCCAATCACCGACGGACATCGATTGCCATCCATTGACAGCAATCGAATGTGCAGGAAGGCAGCTTCTACACATGCATAGAGTATCACACCCATTCATCAACACACATGGGTTGGGACCAACGGCTTTACTTCACTTCCGAAGGTAGACGTGACCAGGAATTTTTAGGCCTCATAAAAATCCCACCGACCTCAGTGCCGGCTGAAGGAATATCAAGTAGAAGAAATTTTAAGAGATGAATAGTTTTTGAGCATTTTGAGACTCACAGAATTTGAGGTATTCAAAAATAAAATAAATGAAAGTCGCTCGCAATCTCACTATTACATTCACTGATAAAAAATAACAAGTTCTGTCCGTTCTAGTTCATCATGATACAGATTTGGATTATTCACAAAAGTTGTAGCTAATGATAAAACCTACAAAAGCTTAATGCATCATTTTACGAAATTCTGTTGATGAAAACAGAGGAAAATGAATGTAAATGATTTCCATGCCTGCCCCAGAGTGTGAAAGTGTCTATAGCAAAAACAAAAATATAAGAAAAAACATTCAAAGTGATTTATGTTACTTCATATGCGAAGTTTGCGATTTTCAGGGTTGGCTGGAAATGCTATCTAACATGACGCTTTAGTGTGAAAATTTATTAGCTAGAGAATGGTCTTAGAAGAGGGTAGGTAGATAGTTTCGTTAGAGTACGGCAGTATGAAAAGTGAATAGAAGTTGAAAATGAGCGAAGGGCCATTAATGCGACAATACAAAGTCAAACGCGCACACCTTTTGCCTAACCCGTACGATGTACGCGGAGATTTGAAGTATGTCTTCCAATCTGCAGGCAAAAAAGTGTGCGCCCGCCTTTGCTCATATACTGTCTGCGCCTGTGGAATAGTTCGAACTACACGCAAACCAAAAATTTATTACAATGAATGTTAGTTCCATTAACTATCATCCTCTGTTCATGGACATCGCAGCGAATGTTAGAAGTTGACCTTGCAGACGATGCAATTATTTTTAATCTTT